AAACCGGTAGGTTCAACATGACTTTACATTCATGCATTTACATTCCAAAGGTTTTTTTAAATCATGATGTTTGTTCAACGAAAGCAATATAGATCATGTATACTGCAATCCAGCCATGTTACAAACCACAAGTGTCAGCAAGTCATAACATTGCTATAATTAAATACTACATTCAATAATTATTTTAGATCTGATTATTAACAATAATTTTCAGAATTATTTTTAGGATTATTTTATTACAAAAAATGGACACTGGCAGTACCAGGGTCATCTTAAGTTTAATTAAAGCGCTACAGTTGTCAAACAACGCGTGTTCGAATTTCATGTAAACAAATAATGTATTTTACACACATTTTATACATCACTATGGATCCCATATCGAACACGACGCTACACAACGACTGTAGTGCTTTAACATATTAAGTACTATATAACCATTTCATGACAGAAATATTCACAATACTAAAATCTTACAATATTTTTTCTGTGAACTGTATATTCATATTTATTTCTTAATGTATGTGTTCTATCCATCCAGTGAGACAACCCTGTTACCAGTACAAATGACTGTCAATGAGAACACTACTTCAGGATCAACCGATTGAAATTTGGAAAGGGCTAATATTCCTTTTCACTTTGATGTAATGTTTACTATGACTACTGTTATACAAAATTCATCATTCTGTTCTCTCAAATATCTTTTGATCAAAATTTCAATGGTCGACTCCTTATCTATCAGAATCTTGTCTTCTTTCAATCATCCCGTTTAACTGTTTGAACTACCGCCAACCAGACGCAGGAGAAAGAGAAATATATACACCATATCGATATAGAGGTTCAAAGCAGCAAATACGTAATCTTCAGGACTTATTTCGTAGCGCTTACCACCAATAATTAGTTGTGTGTCAAATGCCAGGAACTGTATTGACAAAGTACATGTACATTTATATTGTGTGAGTATACATGGGATGTATCACTTTATTGTTTTATGCAAACATAACATATATGCATCCAATTAATTTGGGATGTACATTTCAAAATTCTGGCAGAAATAACATTAATGATGTAGTATGTGAGACTTCAGACTCTGAAAACCAAAGTAACATTTAGAATAGAAAACATGACAGTATGATTCATACATTCTATTAATGCAAGATCCCTTATTATTTATGCAGAGTATAAAACCTCATCAATGACTGTTTAGATACAGTAAATGTAAGTCAATACATTTAAATTTAGGTCTTCATGGAAACAAGCACACATAGCAAATTTGGTTTACCAGTATCGCTATTAGGTGAACTGCTATAATTTGATTAATTCCGATAAACCAGTTTGAAACAGGTGTATTAGGAATGTTTCTCAGATTGATAATTTCACTGAGAAACCTGGGCTCCTCACTGAGAAACCAGGGCTCCTCACTGAGAAACTTGGGCTCCTAGATGAGAAACCTGGGCTATTCACTGAGAAACCTGGGCTATTCACTGAGAAACCTGGGCTTCTCACTGAGAACTTGGGCTATTTACTGAGAAACCTGGGCTTCTCACTGAGAAACCATGGCTCCTTGCTGAAAATTTAGACTCCTCACTGAGAAAATTTCACAAATATAAGGTTTATAGGGATTCTGTTGATCATCCTGTAATGTAAGCAATTTGCTCAGTCTTATATGAGTTTGGCTTAGACAGATATGTTTTTAACTTACCGCTGAGAACAACAAAGCTCCAAGTCCAGCATAGACAGTCTGTAAGATGTTGTTGTAGGTGAAGATACAAATAAAGCCAAACAGGAAGAGAGCAAGTGAGCACATGAACAGTACACTGCCACAAGTAGTGAAATCAAACTTTGTCTGTATGGAAAAGATTGTCACTCCGAGACACACTCCCTGTAAACAAATTACAAATTGGTTGAGTAGATCCTACAATGGGAAAATTATTCAAAACAAAAATCTAAGGACAACATGATTTGCTCAATAGCAAACACACAGTAACACAGTTTCACAGGAGAATAACTTACTTGCTTTATAATGGTGTTACAAACATTGATTACCGTACTATTCAAGCATGAATATAATAACATACAAACAATCAATACTTTAGACACAATATCTGAAAGTGTGTTTTGCAAAATACAAACCGCATTATTATTTATACTGCCTGATCTTATGTTATTTAACATTCTGTTTTTCTACTTGTTACCTTTCTTTTATTACTTTATCAGCAAAAAATGAATTTGTAATAAAACTTTATTGTTATAAATCGGAACATTTCCTCAGTCATCACAGCAGAAGTAGAAATCAATGCTCTTACAGTTTGAATATACTACTTTTCCAGAAGATACAGCGTTTCGTATGGCTGCGCATACCATTAATATTTTGGAATCTAGCGTAAACTTGCACGTGTGATATTGTGCTTCTGAGTGTAACTTTCAACATCACGAAAATAAAATTTCCCTCTATCAACTATCAACAAATTGAGATTTTTGTATTTTCCGCCATGACTTCCAGGAAAGTGGTCTATGACTTTGGCACCATGTTGTTGAAATGTTTATCACTACCATACAAGATATATGGTTGCCATGAGGGACCAGATGTGTGAATTCATGTCTTTGATTGGATAGCTGCTTGACCCTGTGTCACTACAGCTGTGTGATTTTGAATTTCTGATTGCGTTTAAATTATTCTAACAACCAACTTGGCAGAATTCTTTCTACAAAGCTTCATCGGACCGACACTGTCATTATGTGAGAAAGTCTCGCTAAATCTGCCAATGTGGATTTGTATCCTATTATTGCATGCTCTGAAAAAAAAACTATTATTTTTACTACCATGTTTTTATTCGATATTTATTTTTTGTGGCACCAAATGATCGCCCCTGTGCTGAAACATTGCCAATGGGCGATATGTTGCAGTGGTCTATCTTTCAGATAAATATGGTACCGGGTAAGTATGATAACGTATAAAGCACCCCCTTCCAAACAAAGGGTTTAATTTACTTAATACTAAAATCCAACCTACTATTGTTGAGGTGGGAAGGTAACAGTAGGTATGATTTTAGCATTCATTGACCATTTACTTAGGAGAGAGGTG